TTCTAGTCATTTTGAACGAAATTGGATTTGTGAAATAGCGCTTGCCTTGTACTTGATAGGTCGTTGTTTTGCGGGTAGAACATCTGTCAAGAGCATGTCGGGGCAAATTGCTTTTACTAATATGAAAAATACCCAAGTTGTATTGACATAGGGGAGTTTAGGGGATATGTATGGCTGTATGGCTGCAGCCATGAAGAAAACCCTAATCTTGACTACCTTTAGGAGGTCAAAATAGTAATACAAAATATAAAATCGATAAAATTGTACTAGGATAATACAAAATAGAAGATTCATAAAATTGAACTAGGTTAATACAGAATATAAACTTATAAGATTTTACTAGGGTAGTACAGAATATAAAATAATATTAAGGTAATACAAAATATAAAATCATAAAATTGTACTAGAGTACCGAATATAAAATCAGTCAATAAAATTGTACTAAGATAATACAAAAATATAAAATCAATGAAATTGTACTAGGATAATAGAAAATATAAGATCAATAAATGTACTAGGATAAATCAGGTAGGGCTTATTGAAAGCCTGAGTTCATTCAAACTGGAATGTGCCTGCAAACTTACAATTCAGAAAATATGATTATAATCGTGCTCTAAAAAAACAAAAGCTAATTTTTCATCGTAAGAAATTTTACTCATGTGTTTTTTTAGGTACAACGAGGAGAATGGTACTTAGGAAATCTGATGTGTGATATCTATATGGCCTCGGATGTTGCTTGTAGTACGGCATCCATCCTACTCCTTGCCATTATTAGTTTTGATAGGTACCGTACCCTTTGTTTGTTAGACTGTCTACCGTATCTTCCACCAATCAGGTATCGAGCAGTGAGCCATCCGATACAGTACTCTCGGCAGTCTCAGAACGTTCGACGAGTTCTTGCGATGATCTGTGCTACATGGGTAATATCACTACTGGTCGCTAGTCCCATGGTTTTCGGTAAGTAGGGCTCTATTACGGAAGTGAAAAAAATTTTGACGGGGCATAAAAAAGACGCTCATAATGTGCTTTGCATAAATCATTTTGGAATTGGCCATACACACCCACACAGCTATCATGCACATCTGCTCCTCATTTTTTACTTTTTTTTTCGAAAAATGAAGCTCATTAGCTATCGTTTGCGTCAAACTTCCTTATGAATCATGCATTATGCGTCCTTCACATCCACTTCCTCATTTTCAGGCGTAAATGTTCGACCGCCAGACGCAAATCCACATGAATGTCGTTTTTACAATGCCGAATTCTCCATTGGCTCTTCAATCATCTCATTTGTGATTCCGTGCATTCTGGTGCTTTTCGTCTACATCCGGATTCTCATTGCGTTGAAGAAACGCGAAAAAGCCGCAAAAATGCGTCGACTGAAAAACCTGCAGGCTGGTGCAAGGTAAGGAACAAGTCGCTGAAGTACAGATCGCAAAAAACTTACAAAAAAATTACTTTACAAAAAAGCAAACACAATTTTAGTTTGTAACGGAACAAAGTCCATGAATTTTATATTTAGAAATTATTTTGAACATTGTTAGAGCTACCAACCTGGTTTTTTTTGCTCGTCATTTTCTGCAAAACACCGTCTTTTATGCAGAAGAAATGGTTGAGCGAATTTGCCGTGTTTTCTTAAAAATTGTCAATGTGTCTTTTTCACAAAAAAA